ATAACTCACGAGATCTTGACATGTGTCAAATATCTCGATCTCAGATTTTGCCATGTATCATATAATTTTTTTTTTTTTAATAAAAAGGTAAAAAGATAATAATAAGATAATTATAAATGTAAACAGTTTGGAAATGTAAAAAGTTAATTGCAAGGAAATTGTACCAAACTACCTATATTTCCATAAGAGATTTTGCCATCTACCAATCAAAATTTTTGTTTTTAACAACTTAAAATTGTTAAAAGATAATTATAACCAAAATTATAAATTAAATAGTTAGATCATAGTAAGAAAACTATATGTATATATATAAAGAAATTATATGTGTATTTTCCCTAAAAATGAAAATTAGAAAATTATGCTAAACATTTTATTTGTAAGTTACTAATTGTACAAGAAAATAGAAACAGGATTAAGGAAATTATACAATCAATTATTATTCCAATAAGAAAAAGGATTGTAAATAATCAACTTTATATAAATAGTAAGTTATCTCATATTTTCTCACCAAGCAAACTAATTTCTTCGCACACCACCGTTGTTTTAACTTCATTCTATTGGTAAAACTTTTTTTTTGGTTATAAAGTATTTTTAGGATAATATAATTAACTAACATTTGACCAAAAAATAATTAAAGAAAACATGAAATAAATACTAATAACACGAGTTAAAAAAATTTAGAAAACTAATGTTTTTTAGATATGTGAAAATTCAAAATGGTTCTCAAACAAAAGACAAACAAACAACTTCGTATTCTAATTTGGAAAAAAAAACATGAAATAAATACTAATAATACGAAAAAATCTGAATAAAAAAAAAATAATATTAGAATTCTAACAACGAAATAGAGACATCCAACAATGTCATTAAATAAAATAGCATGTCATACTGAAAAAATAGGAGTATCATGTGATTGTTATGGAGGTGATGATGGTGGTGGTTGATGGTTATAGAGGTGGTGATTGGGTGATTTTAAAAAATAACGTGATCATGTAAAAATTACATGTATTTATCATTTGTTGTAAAAATATCATATCTATTAAAAAAACAAATACTGTGAATCACGATGGTTTTCTAAAAACAGCATGTGATATTCAGACCCAAGGAATATAGGGCAATTGAGGCCAATTAAGAATTATGAACGACGATGGACATAGATTAGAGTTGTTGTCGGAGAGGCTTGGCCTGATGTCGGAGAAGATAAAGAAAGTGGAGTAATAAGAGAATTTGGGAAAAGAGGAGAAGAAGCGATAACAGTGGTGTTGGTGTTGATGACGATGGTTCAAGGTAGGTGGTGGCAGCAGTGATAAATATTGATGAAGGTGGTCGATTGAAATTAGCGAGATTCGGTATTGATACTGGTGGTGATTGTGATAATAGTGAAATTCATTTGTGGTGGTGGGTTAGAGTAGTGAGACTCGGTGGTGATGTCCGACGAAGGGAAGAAATGGAGATAGGGGAAAAAAAGAGGGAGGGAAAGAGAAAAAAAAAGGAGTTCAAGCAAAAATAAGATAAAACTAATGAGAAAAATATAGAGATTTGAGAATTTCTCGCCG